CTGCTATGCCGTCGTATTACTTTACTGTCTTCCTTTTTTTTTGGCCAACCACCACACGGGCACATCCATCTTCACCTGGCCCATCGTTACCATGGCAGTTACATGCCTCACCTCGACGAGCGAAAATAAAACCGCAGCTATAGTATCACTGTCTAACCAATCAACAGCACTATTACATAAGAACACACACACATGACAAGCATTCACGCCGGAATTTCGGCATCAATATCAAACCATGTATATATAAAGATTGTCTTGGCTTCAACACCAAATGTTCTATATATTTCCTACTTTAAAATATTTTTAATATAATAAAGATGGACAACACGTGAGGTAAGATAAGTTTCTATTAATTAAGCGAAATGCAAGCTTTCGGGACGAACGCCCTTCTACAGGCAATTATGAATACGCGCAAAGATACAAATGGTAGGTAGGAGCGAATATTGATATATGCTAGTGTTTAACATATTTACAAGAATTTTGCTGTAAAATTAGTATAATAAGCTAAACCAAAGAAATGCAAATATCTAACTATTATTTCAATTATTAACTTAATAACGGGAACTATTGTATATTCAATATTTTATGAAAAACTAAGATGTTGCAGATGTTTCAGCCAAGAAAACACCATAGATGTCGGGAATTTCGATCTTTCTATTAATGCTATTGTGTTTGTGTGAGACTATGGATTCCAACACCAATCGTTGGTGTTGGTTGTGGATATGTCTATAGTGGATTACTGGATGGTTAATATCGAATGTGTGTCCTGTATATGCTATATGTTGGTGGATGAGGGATTTGGGGTATTTGTTCGTTATATAACGGGAGTGCTCTGTAATTCTGATGGCCACAGTTCTACCTGTCTCACCCACATATGTGGCAGAGCACTGCTCACATGAGACAGAGTAGACTGCTCCTGTACATTGAAGGGGGCTGGGAGGAGTGTATGCTTTGGTTATGGGATGTCTGAGGTGTGTGGATATGTTATTGGTGTTGCTTAAAAAGGTCTGGATGCCATGGGTTTTAAGGAGTCTGGATATGTTGACTGTGCAGGGTGAATAAGGTAAAATACAAGTGGATCTATGAGCTGTTGGGGGTTTGTAAAGGCTGGGTACGTAAGTGTGTCTATTAATAAAGGTAAGGGGGCAAAGCTGAGGCAGTAAGATGGGAAATTACTAATTATTTTTCTATGGTTTTGAATATGGGGAGGGAACAATGGGTATGTATTCGTTTTGTTAAAGTTTTAACTATGTTAATTTTATGTACTATGGCTGAAACATCTGTAACGTCTTAGTTTTTCATAAAATATTAAATATACAATAGTTCCCGTCATTAAGTTAATAATTGAAATAATAGTTAGATATTTGCATTTCTTTGGTTTAGCTTACTATACTAATTTTACAGCAAAATTCTTGTAAATATGTTAAACACTAGCATATATCAATTATCGCTCCTACCTACCATTTGTATATTTGCGCGTATTCATAATTGCCTATAGAAGGGCGTTCGTCCCGAAAGCTTGCATTTCGCACAATTAAAAGAAACTTATCTTACCTCACGTGTTGTCCATCTTTATAATTTACTGGTAAGAGTCCCTGCAATTTTTAATATTGTTACTCGCTCTTCTTAACATAATACATATATATTTTTAAGCATTTTAAATACTATACCGATTTTATTATTTCTAATATTCATTAATTACTAGCGGATGTGTGCCCGGTTTCGCCCGGGTTATATCTGAGTGAAAGTTTGCGTAACGAATATTATTGATAATAATTTTCCGGAACACAGAATATTATGATAATAATTTTCATTACATTATATATTTATATAATATATATAAAATATATTTTTCGAGCAAACATATCCACTCTCTCTACTGAATAGATTTTTAAAAAGATATACATAAATAAAAATATCTAGAGATATGCTACATGATCTTAGACAAAAGGCCGAGAAACGATATTTCATATTTTTAGAGATGACCTGGCTTCGTGTGTCTTCTTCTAGAAGTAATGTTTCGCTGGTAGAATTTTGTTCCAGACAACTAAAAATTATTATCTGGCTTTGCGCGTTGTCTGCCTTAGTGAATATTCCCCAAAAATATTTTTGTTTATGTCAACCATGCATGATACAGCAATATTGTCATCATCATTTCTGACTAAAAAATATATTGTTGCTCAGTACCAGGTTAATTATCATTTTTACTGGTTAAAGCGCGAAAAAAAAAACCTCTTCCAGATTTAACCCTCTGTCCTGTTCAAATTTCAGCGAGATTAGTTACATATCAAGGGCGTGCATAGCCGACAAACATATATATATATATATATATATATATGTTCCCGGCTTCGCCCGGTTTTTACCCGAGTGAAAGTTTGCCTAACGAACATTTTTTTAAAACGATTCTAGCAAACATCCAATCCCTAAAAAATCTATACTTGTCTATACTATCGGTAATTTGAAAATATTTCCCGGTCCCATCACAATACTCGAAAGTTGAATAAAATCAATATTAATTGGTCCACTCGGTAATTTGAAGTTGAAGGAATAGTATTTGCCACAAACGAACATTTGTAAATAACTGTATTTAGCGAATGTACCCGGCTTCGCCCGGTTTTTACACAAGTAAAAGTTTTCCTAACGAACATTTGTTAAAGCGATTCTAGAAAACATCCAATGCACCTATATATAGATTTATAAACGTATGTAAATATTGTTATATGCGTTTAAATATATTTTTGAAACACATAATCTTTTAAAAACATTTATTAAATTTCAAAGATATTATGACGTTTCTGAATTTTATAATTATTTATTTCTTTTTTTTTTCTCAATGAATTATGTATATTAATTTAAAAATTGATTTTTTTATCATCATATCACATTAAATGTAATTCTTTATATCTATAAAAATTAAATCTAAAATCGATTTTTGTTAACGCGTTGCGAAAAATATACAGAATAAATAAATATGAAATTTCGCATGTAGGTAGCTGAAGATTTCGTTTAACATATAGGCAATTAAAAAAACTAAAAAGGTTAATGTGCTTTTTTAAAAATATAAAACCAAAAAGCGTTAGTTCCAGCCTTTTACCGTTTGGCGCCGCACTGGTCGCGATGATAAATGAATTTGATTGTTAATAATTTTACATGTATTTGTTAGTTTGTTTACACGATGAATGTTTTTAATAGGTAAGATTATCCAATCCCCGTGAAATTTCTGGAAGTTATTTCCTATACTACTGGGAAGGTTTCTGGTTTGAATTTGATTTGAAATAAATATTCGTTGCAATTTTATTAGCAAATTTTCTACTTTCACTCACAAGCAGCCCTTATCGCGGTATGTGGTGAAATTACATTTATAAATTGTAAAAATGCTAAAATGTTGTAATGTTAAAATATATTTTTAAAATTGTAAATTCAATTTGTTGTTGTTTAATAATAATAAAGATACAAATTATATTGTTTTTGTTGTTTATTATCGTTTGTTTATATAAAAAAAAATACATTTTATGTGATGACGATAACAAAAATGAGTTTCTAAATTAATATATGTAATTCATTGAAAAAAAAAAAGACATACTTAATTATAAAATTCACAAGCGTGACAATATCTTATTTAAAATTTAATAATAGTTTTTAAAAAAATTATGCTTCAAAAATATATTTATATACGTTTATAAATATATATATGTAATATTCCGTTTGAATCCTTGTTGTTGTGGTGTCTACTCTGTGACAACCCGTTAGTATCCTGTCGACTCTCTGTCGGATTGTGGTTGATTCCTGGTGAAGTGTGTGGTTGGGTGGATTTGATTGGATTGGTGATTGATGGCGCAGTCTTGGTCGAATGGTGATTTTCCACAGGGGAAGAACGAGCACACCTGGATGGGATAGAAAATAGACCTTTCGAAAGAAAGAGTGATGAGACTGGAGGAGGTACTTGGCCTTTCACATGATGGAGCGGACACTACTTTGGTTGGAGCCTATGTTGAGCACACCTTGCTTCTAGCACGGTCACCTACCTTCCTTTTTTAACTTTTTGTCCGATATCATCGTCATTAACTCTCTCGACCTCTCATTAGTGAAGATCCTTACACGTGCTCTCTGATGATTCGCTATCAGTTGGTCATGCTTAAAGGTGATTGGTTGTTGATTTGTCATGCTTAACTGTGATTTGCTTAGTACCTCCTTTGTCGCAATGATTGCAATCTTCCAGGAAGAAGGTCTTTGAACTTAAGTTTTATGGGTCCATGGGAGTGACCTTTACCTCCTGGATGATGCAATCCTGTTAATTGTTAATTCGCTTTTCGCGAAGCTTAACTTTTATTAAATCGTTTGACGATACATTACATAGATTGTGGTGGATTTACATATTGCTATGTACAGATTATCACATATATGGGTGGATTGGATGTTTTCTAGAATCGTTTCAACAAATGTTCGCTAGGCAAACTTTTATTCGGGTAAAAACTGGGCAAAGCCGGGTATATTCGCTAAATACAGTTATTTATAATACACTGCGGCCTTTAATTGTAAAACGACACTTGAAGTTACACCACATGAATTTCTTTTCAACGACAAATATTATTATTTATTTTATTTAAAGGTGAAATATCGACTATTTCTAACCTTTTGGATGAGGTATGAAAGGATGAAATATGAAGAGAAATGACGAACGGTAAAATAAAAGTGTCCAGGGATAGGAATCGAACCCACAATATTCCGCTTTCCAGGCAGATGCTATGTCCACTAGGCTACTCATAACGTATTTTATCCGTTTGTAAATGATACATAAAGTAACTTATAATAAAATATATAATACACTGCGGCCTGTAATTGTAAAACGAAACTTGATGTTACACCACATGAATTTCTTTTCAACGACAAATATTATTATTTATTTTATTTAAAGGTGAAATATCGACTATTTCTAACCTTTTTGGATGAGGTGGGAAAGGATGAAATATGAAGAGTAATGACGAACGGTAAAATAAAAGTGTCCAGGGATAGGAATCGAACCCACAATATTCCGCTTTCCAGGCAGATGCTATGTCCACTAGGCTACTCATAACGTATTTTATCCGTTTGTAAATGATACATAAAGTAACTTATAATAAAATATATAATACACTGCGGCCTGTAATTGTAAAACGAAACTTGATGTTACACCACATGAATTTCTTTTCAACGACAAATATTATTATTTATTTTATTTAAAGGTGAAATATCGACTATTTCTAACCTTTTTGGATGAGGTGGGAAAGGATGAAATATGAAGAGTAATGACGAACGTAAAAATAAAAGTGTCCAGGGATGGGAATCGAACCCCCAATGTTCCGCTTACCGGGCAGATGCCATGTCCACTAGGCTACTCATAACGTATTTTATCCGTTTGTAAATGATACATAAAGTAACTTATAATAAAATATATAATACACTGCGGCCTGTAATTGTAAAACGAAACTTGATGTTACACCGCATGAGTTTCTTTTCAACGACAAATTAATATATATTTTTTTTTATTTCAAGGTGATATATCGACTATTTCTAACCTTTTTGGATGAGGTATGAAAGGATGAAATATGAAGAGTAAGGTCGAACGGAAAAATAAAAGTGTCCAGGGATGGGAATCGAACCCACAATGTTCCGCTTACCAGGCAGATGCCATGTCCACTAGGCTAACCTGGACGTATTTTTTCGTTCGTAAATGATACATAAATAACTCATATTACAATATATAATACACTGTGGCCTGTAATTGTAAAATGACACTTGAAGTTACACCGCATGAGTTTCTTTTCAACGACAAATTCATATATATTTTTTTATTTCAAGGTGAAATATCGACTATTTCTAACCTTTTTGGATGAGGTATGAAAGGATTAAATATGAAAAGTAATAAGGAACGGAAAAATAAAAGTGTCCAGGGATGGGAATCGAACCCACAATGTTCCGCTTACCGGGCAAATGCCATGTCCACTAGTCTACCCTGGACGTATTTTTCTGTTCGTAAATGATACATAAAATAACTTATAATACAATATATAATACACTGCGGCCTTTAATTGTAAAATGACACTTGAAGTTACACCGCAGGAGTTTCTTTTCAACGACAAATAATATTTTTTTTTTATTTCAAGGTGAAATATCGAATATTTCTAAACTTTTGGATGAGGTATGAAAGAATTAGATATGAAGAGTAATAAGGGTCGGAAAAATAAAAGTGTCCAGGGATGGGAATCAAACCCACAATGTTCCGCTTACCGGGCAAATGCCATGTCCAATAGTCTAACCTGGACGTATTTTTCCGTTCGTAAATGATACATAAAGTAACTTATATTACAATATATAATACATTGCGGCCTGTAATTGTAAAACTACACTTAAAGTTACACGGCATAAGTTTTCAACGACAAATTATTATTTTTTTAATATCAAGGTGAAATATCGACTATTCCTAACCTTTTTGGATGAGGTATGAAAGGATGTAATATGAAGAGTAATGACGAACGGAAAAATAAAAGTGTCCAGGGATGGGAATCGAACCCACAATGTTCCGCCTACTGGGCAGAAGCGATGTCCACTAGACTACCCTTGACGTATTTTTCCGTTCGTATATGATACATAAAGTAACTTATAATACAATATATAATCCACTGCGGCCTGTAATTGTAAAACGACACTTGAAGTTACACCGCATGAGTTTCTTTTCAACGACAAATTATTTTATTTTTATTTCATGGTGAAATATCCACTTTTTCTAACGTTTTTTGATGAGGTATGAAAGGATGAAATATGAAGAGTAATGACGAACGGAAAAAAAAGTGTCCAGGGATGGGAATCGAACCCATATAATTCCGCTTACCGGGCAGATGCCATGTCCACTTGGCTATCCTGGACGTATTTTTCCGTTCGTAAATGATACATAAAGTAACTTATAATCTATATATTAATAAAATGCAAATTTAATAAGAGTACATCACTATAAACTTTCGTTACAATGCATCAATATCAACCAAATTTTCAACATTTATGTAAAACGAGATGGAGCAGGTTTTGCTTAACATCAAAATATTTTTCCTAACTTTAAAATACATAACTTTGCTGTTATCGATAAAATACAAAAAAATTCAACAGAGTAAAAGTATTTATACTTTCAAAAGTGTTTACTTTCCGCTTCTTGCTAACTGCTCTAATTTGAAATATTTGGTAGGTTTTATTTATTTATATATTTTCATTTTTAGATATAACTGATCTAATTCGTCGTTTAAAATAACTTCTCTTGAAATATTTGGTATGTTTTATTTATTTATATATATTTTCATTTTTAGATATAACTGATCTAATTCTTGTTTAAAATAACTGCTCTAATTCGAAATATTTGGTATGTTTTATTTGTGTTCACTCTATTTCTATTTATTTGAAGTATTATAATTTCCATGTTTCAAAAACCTATTTCAAAAAGGTTGTTAGAAATATGTAAGGCCTGAAATAGCTTTACATGCGAACATTTATGATGCCAAGCGTAGCTTAATAACTGCTCTTGAAATATTTTGTATGTTTTATTTATTTATATATATTTTCATTTTTAGATATAACTGATCTAATTCGCCGTTTAAAATAACTGCTCTAATTCGAAATATTTGGTATTTATTTATTGAAGTCCTTTTTTAAATTTTCTTATGGAGTTTTTAAATTATTGCTTTTATCTTTTAAATACAGTTTATTTATTATATTTTCTACATATATGGGTTGTATTTTTATTTATTTATTTCATCTCAATTTGCAGGTGTTACATTCGAGCACAGCTCGCGAGTCACCTTGTCCATATTATTTACACATGGCGAGTTGTGATGCTGGAGTGGCCCCCCGAACCTTACAGGAGGGCAGTTGTTGGGTGTTTGGCTGTCAGCTAGCCATTGGGTCCAGGTCGTCGGATTCGGTGGCTGAGGTCACCTTGGTTTTGAACAATTTCTTGTATAGTTGGATTTGAGGATTTTTGAAATTGCGAGAATAGTCTTGTCGCAGAGTCTTGATAAATCTCTTCTATATTAGGCTGGTTGAGATCTTCTTTGAGAATTTTGTTTGAAAGATTGAATGGGGCTCCTATAGTGGTTCGTAAGCAAATCCTCATGAAGGCATCTATTCTTTTTTTATCCGTAGGTGTGATATATTTGCCCCAGACTGGTAGTGCGTACGTGATGATGGGTAGAATGCAGGTTTTGTACAACGTGAATTTATGCTTTGTTGTTAAATTACTTTTAAAATTAAGCAGGCTTGATAGAGATATTTTGGCTATCTTTGCCTTTCTTATGGTGTTTTGGACATGTAGGTTAAATTTTAATTTCGAATCCAAAGTGACACCAAGATATTTGGCATGGTCGGCCCAACTAATAGTGCTTGAGTTTACTGTCAAGTTGGATTGTGGCTTGAATTTTTTGTTATCTCTTGGGGGAAAAACTATTGCTTGAGTCTTAGTTGGGTTAATGTCTAGTTTCCACTCATCGCACCATTTGATTATGTCAGTTAGGTAATTCTGAAGCTGAGTAACCAATAGGTTGACTGATTTGGAGTTGAATAAAATTGCTGTGTCATCTGCGAAGAGCTTAAGTTTACATTTAGAGTGCAGTGGGATGTCATTAATGTAAATATTGAAAAGGTAGGGTCCGAGGATAGAGCCTTGAGGTACTCCAGTCTGGATTGGCTTTGGTTCAGTTATAAAATTTCCTTGCTTGACTGAAAATGTCCTGCCCTGTAGATAATTCTACATAAAATTGATAATGTCACTTGGAAACTGGTGTTTTGTGAGTTTCTTTATAAGGCCATTATGCCAAACTTTATCAAATGCTTTCGCAAAATCTAGAAAGACAGCACCTACCACTTCCTTGTGGGATCTTCTTATCTGGATATAGTCCAGAACTGCAATGAGTTGGTGAGTTGTTGAGTGCCCCCTTCTAAATCCGAATTGCTGCGGGATGATGAAGTTAGAGTTGTCCAAGTACATCTGAAGTCTACGTAGAATAATTCTTTCGTAAATTTTGCCGATGGTGGAGAGGAGGCTGATAGGTCTTAGATCTTCAGGGGATTTAGCGGATTTTTTTGGAATTGGAATTATGATAGCATGCTTCCAGACTTTGGGGTAGTAACACAAGTGCAGTGCGGCGTTGAATACTCCAGCTAGAAATACAATCCATTTGATGGGAAGATTCTTGGCCATTTGCGGAGTGATATTGTCATGGCCAGGAGCTTTGTGGTTAGCTAAGTATTTAATTACTTCTTTGACTTCATTTGGTGTCGTCATTGTGAGCATTTTTTCTTGTTGGTGATTATAAGTTATATTTGGTTGGTCTTCTTCTTTTTCCTTGGAGAACTGGTTGGAGAAGTGTTCTGCAAGTTCATTTCCGATTTCTTTGTCGGTCAATAAGGTTTTGCCGTTCGTTACTAAGCTTGAGATCCTTTCCGTTTTTTTCCTGATGGGTTTTGTTTTTCTCCAGAAGTCCTTTGGGCTTGATTCAATCTTGTGTATGAATTGATTCCAGTTCTCGGTGGAGTCGGATTTGAGGGCTTTGTTAACTTTTCCCTGTAGGTTCAAATAAATGGCTCTATGGGCTGGATCCCAGGTTGCTTGCCATCTCTTACGAGCTTTATTCTTTTCTTTTATCAAGGCCTTGGTCGAGGGGTTCTGTTTTGATGAAGAGGATGATATAACTGTATTTTTTGAGTAGCTGTTGTAGATTTTATCATTTAGTATGGTCACTGCTGAGTCAATATTGGCTTCCGTTTTCAAGGGTACTCTAGGAGGCTTACTGGAAATTAAGTCTTGTTGGAAGTGTACCCAGTTAGTGAGTCGGCAAGCCCTAGTCGTGAATTCATCCTTCGGGCAGGTCAGATCTAGGATTACTGGGAGGTGATCTGAAGATAAGGCATCCAGGGTCTTAATCCTCGAAGCCCAGGGAATGTTTCTAAGAATTGCGATGTCTAAAAAGTCTGGATTTCCCAAAGGACTGTAGTGCGTGGGTGAAGAAGGTGCGACAATGTCCAGGTTTTCTTTTTCGGAAAAATTATGAAGCAC